CCACAGCCACCTGCTGCGGCTTCTGATCCGCAGGCTCAGTGCCCACCTCCCCCCAACACTCCGTGGGCAGAGCTGGCCTGGAAACCAGGGGGCAGGGAGGGGCTAAGAGGAAGCGAGAGACACGGCCCTGTCCCCAGGGAGCCCCAGTCTGAGGGGGACATGACCCTGTCCCCAGGGATGCCCAGTCTGAGGGGGACACGACCCTGTCCCCAGGGAGCCCCAGTCTGAGGGGGACACGACCCTGTCCCCAGGGAGCCCCAGTCTGAGGGAGACACGGCCCTGTCCTCAGGGAGCCCCAGTCTGAGGGGGACACGGCCCTGTCCTCAGGGAGCCCCAGTCTGAGGGGGACACGGCCCTGTCCTCAGGGAGCCCCAGTCTGAGGGGGACACAGCCCTGTCCTCAGGGAGCCCCAGTCTGAGGGGGACACGGCCCTGTCCTCAGGGAGCCCCAGTCTGAGGGGGACACGGCCCTGTCCTCAGGGAGCCCCAGTCTGAGGGGGACACAGCCCTGTCCTCAGGGAGCCCCAGTCTGAGGGGGACACAGCCCTGTCCTCAGGGAGCCCCAGTCTGAGGGGGACACGGCCCTGTCCTCAGGGAGCCCCCGTCTGAGGGGGACACAGCCCTGCCCTCGGGGAGCCCCCACCTGAGGGGGACACAGCCCTGTCCTCAGGGAGCCCCAGTCTGAGGGGGACACGGCCTGTCCTCAGGGAGCCCCAGTCTGAGGGGGACACAGCCCTGTCCTCAGAAAGCCCCAGTCTGAGGGGGACACGGCCCTGCCCTCAGGGAGCCCCAGTCTGAGGGGGACACAGCCCTGTCCTCAGGGAGCTCCTGTCTGAGGGAGACACGGCCCTGTCCTCAGGGAGCCCCAGTCTGAGGGGAGACACGGCCCTGTCCTCAGGGAGCCCCAGTCTGAGGGGAGACACGGCCCTGTCCCCAGGGAGCCCCATTGAAGCAGGAAGGAAGCACATTTCCTGGTTTTAATAAGACTCACAGAAAAAAAGCCAAAAATGTGGTCAGAAAGGAAGAGCACAAATGCAAACCAAGAGAGATCACGCGCAGGTCCAGGCGCACGGTGCCGTTCATTCACATCCAGGCATCGGGACCCCGAGTCCGTCCGCCGGCCCCGCTACACTGCCCACCTCCCCAGGGACATGCGGGGCCTGTGGCCACAGGTTTGCTTCGTGAGAATGAGTCTGACCCCAGGGCAGGAAGTGGGACAAAATGAGGTGGGGGAGGGGAGGGGTGGCACAGGGGGACCCAGGAGAGAAGCTGGAGCCAGGACTAATTGTAAAAGATGTTAAAATCCTAAAGATGTTAAAGCCCTGCTTCCCCAG